TGCACTTTTTGTGAAAAGGAGATTGAAAGCACTGATTATCTTTTTTTCTTTTGTGCTACAATCCAACCCTTTTGGTCTGAAATGCAACTCTGGATCAATTCCACATTTCGTTCTTTACCAGTCTTGTTAAACAGAGATGTTATAATTTTTGGTGTACTACTACAAAATAAAAAAGAAGAACTCTGTGTAAAACTTAATATTATGTCTTGCCAAATTTTACATCCACAAATGTAAAATTCAGAAATGTCCCCCTAACTTTGCTTGTTTTAAAAACGAACTAAGATTATATATAAAAACTCTGAAACATATGAATGGTCCTAAACCTCAAAAAGTGTCTTCCTACATGTGCGAAATACCCCTGGACTTTATGGACTCTGGCTGAATGAACTTACTTCCCTTTGCTATTATCATTTTCTATTCTTAAATGCACTTTTTTTGTATTATATTGTATTGTTTCTATACAATATGTTATGTTTATGTTCCCTCATCCCAACATGTAACTTCTGACGACACACAGCCATGTTTGTTATATCAAGTTTATGCACCCAGTTGTGTGTAATAATAATAAAAAAAAAAAAAAAAAAAAAAAAAAAGGCTAATCTGGGATCATGTGACATTGAGCTCAGCCCGTTGACTTGAATGAGCGGCCATTTTGGAACCTGGGGGCTTGACTGAGCTAAGAAATGTCTGTAAATACTTTATCATAATGTGAATAGTTTAGTCCTGGTTTAGTCCTGGTTTAGACCTTGTTTAGTCCTGGTTTTAGTCCTGGTTTAGACCTGGTTTAGTCCTGGTTCAGTCCTGGTTTAGTCCTGGTTTAGACCTGGTTTTGGTTTAGACCTGGTTTAGTCCTGGTTCAGTCCTGGTTCAGTCCTGGTTTAGTCCTGGTTTAGACCTGGTTTAGACCTGGTTTAGACTGGTTTAGTCCTGGTTCAGTCCTGGTTTAGTCCTGGTTTAGTCTGGTTTAGACTGGTTTAGACTGGTTTAGTCTGGTTCTGGTTTAGTCCTGGTTTTAGACCTGGTTTAGACCTGGTTTACTCCTGGTTCAGTCCTGGTTTAGTCCTGGTTTAGTCCTGGTTTAGACCTGGTTTAGTCCTGGTTCAGTCCTGGTTCAGTCCTGGTTTTGACCTGGTTTAGTCCTGGTTTAGTCCTGGTTTAGACCTGGTTTAGTCCTGGTTCAGTCCTGGTTCAGTCCTGGTTTAGACCTGGTTTTAGACCTGGTTTAGACCTGGTTTAGTCCTGGTTTAGTCCTGGTTCAGTCCTGGTTTAGTCCTGGTTTAGACCTGGTTTAGTCCTGGTTTAGTCCTGGTTTAGTCCTGGTTTAGACCTGGTTTTAGACCTGGTTTAGTCCTGGTTCAGTCCTGGTTCAGTCCTGGTTTAGTCCTGGTTTAGACCTGGTTTAGAACTGGTTTAGTCCTGGTTCAGTCCTGGTTTAGTCCTGGTTTTAGACCTGGTTTAGACCTGGTTTACTCCTGGTTCAGTCCTGGTTTAGTCCTGGTTTAGTCCTGGTTTAGACCTGGTTTAGTCCTGGTTCAGTCCTGGTTCAGTCCTGGTTTTGACCTGGTTTAGTCCTGGTTTAGTCCTGGTTTAGACCTGGTTTAGTCCTGGTTCAGTCCTGGTTTAGACCTGGTTTTAGACCTGGTTTAGAACTGGTTTAGTCCTAGTTTTAGACCTGGTTTAGACCTGGTTTAGTCATGGTTTAGTCCTGGTTTAGACCTGGTTTAGTCCTGGTTCAGTCCTGGTTTAGTCCTGGTTTTAGACCTGGTTTAGAACTGGTTTAGTCATGGTTTAGTCCTGGTTTAGACCTGGTTTAGTCCTGGTTCAGTCCTGGTTTAGTCCTGGTTCAGTCCTGGTTCAGTCCTGGTTTAGTCCTGGTTTAGACCTGGTTTAGAACTGGTTTAGTCCTAGTTTTAGACCTGTTTTAGACCTGGTTTAGACCTGGTTTAGACCTGGTTTAGTCCTGGTTTTAGACCTGGTTTAGTCCTGGTTTTAGTCCTGGTTCAGTCCTGGTTTAGAGTCCGGCAGTGAGTGGGGGGGTTACTGTAAAAACAGTTAAATCCCTCTGTGTAATCCATTTATTTCAACAAAGTAACTGTAATCCAATTCCCATGAGAAATGATAATAAAGACATTTTTGTAAAATCAGGTGTTTTGATTAAAGTGTCTGTGACAGGTTTGACTCGATTTACTAAAATAGTTGAGATCAATATTTTAGCAAAGACTTGAATTTGCCTTTTTTATTTAACCTTGAAATAATTTGTATTTGTGAAAGATTAAACTGAGTGGAAATTAGAGCGTCACAGAGGCGTCACATGCACTTGGACTGTTTTATTTGACTCTTATTTCTGTAGATTTCTGGTGTGTGCACTTCACTTCATGTTTGTTATGCATATTTAACCATCACTTCTTAAACTGTATCTCTTCAGCCCAAAGTCATGTGCCGCTGTCTAATATGTTAAAAACCTGCAAAATAAAATACAAACTTGAATTATAAAAAATGTTTATAACAATAAAATAAACACAAACAAAGAAGAAGTGCAGCCTGCTGAAGCCGTCATAACATTAAAGAAATACTTGAGCCCCCTCTGCTGGCGAAAATAAAAATGACATCCTCACGTCAACAGAATTTCTCTTAAACGTTGCTTCTCTCAGTGAAGTTTCATAAACAGATGTTTTTGGTCTGGTCCGTCTTTTAAGTGTTTTCACCGCACACTTTCCTCATCTGGAACAACTGCAAGGCCTTAAACAAATCAACAAACAAACAACGTCACTTTTTCTTCAGAACTTTATATAAACCAGAGAAAATCTAATGTTTTGATTGGTGATATTTGCAATAAACTTTAAATTAAATATTGGAAATAGAGGTCGAAACCTGTTTTCCATCCATTTTCTTCGGCTTATCCGGGGTCGGGTCTCGGGGGCATCAGTCTAAGCAGGGACTCCCAGACTTCCTTCACCCCAGACACTTCCTCCAGCTCCTCCGGGGCGACCCCGAGGTGTTCCCAGGCCAGTCCAGAGACATAGTCCCTCCAGTGTGTCCTGGGTCTTTCCCAGTGTGTCCAGAACAGACGTCCTCCCCTCAGCTGCTCCTGACGCTACGTGGAGGAGCAGCGGCTCTACTCCGAGCTCCTCACTCTGTCTCTAAGGGAGACGCCCAGACGCCCTGCGGAGGAAACTCATGTGTGTGATCTCGTCCTTTCGGTCATTATCCAGGGTGTCCAGAGGTGAGAGGAGGAACAGAGACTGACGATAAATCCAGACTCAGCTCCTCTTCACCACAACGACCGATACAGCGACCGCATCACTGCCCACACTGCACCTGTCCACCTGTCAATCTGCCCACGCTGCACCTGTCCACCTGTCAATCTGCCCACACTGCACCTGTCCACCTGTCAATCTCACGCTCCGTCCTCCCCTCACTCCAGAACAAAACCCCGACACACTTGAACTCCTCCACTTGAGGCAGAGACTCTCCACTCACCCGGAGACGACAAGACACATTTTTTCTGGTCGAGAACCTTGACCTTGGACTCGGAGGAGCTGATCTTCATCCCAGACGCTTCACACTCGGCTGCAAACCTCCGGCCCCTGACTGCGCCTAGAAATTCTGTCCATAAAAAGAATGAACAGAACCAGTGACAGGCCTGAGCAAAGGGCCCAGACCAGAGCAAACCCTTCAAAGCTCCTGTGACACTATTTTCTGCTCTGTTCTAATGTTGTGTCCTCATCACAAACAGACCTGGACTTGAGTTCTTCTCTCAAACTGAAAACACTTTGTCATGTGGTAATACCGGAAGTGTTCCACTGTGTTTTTAAACTCTAGACACCTTCACTAGAATCATGTGGTTCAATTCAGCTCTGGAATTTTCAATCTCTACAGAATTTAAGGTAAAAAACGTGTGAGTGAAACAAAACACAACACAACTCGACAGAACGACTCAGATGAGTTGTTGTGGCTGTTTAAAATCAGATCAAATCACCTCACTGGTTTTGTGCAGACTTTTGCACCTGTCACCCCTGCCGCCCCTGTCGCTCGGGCTGTGAACAGGAAACTGAGTGTGGTCAGTGTGTGATGTGCTGTTCGAGGTTATTATTATATTATCGTTTACTTCCTCTGAACGACACATTTTCAAATAAAAACACTTTTTCCGACTCTGCTCCTCACACAGACGCACAATAACAACAACAACAATAAATATAATAATCATAATCATAATAATCATAATAATAATGAATTTTTATTTATAAAGCACTTTTAAAAATAAGGATTTCAAAGTGTGTACAAGCAGCAATGAACAATAAAAATGCATAAAAATAGCACAGAAAACACAAAAACAGACGCAAACAATCCAAATAATTATAATAAACAAATAAAAAAAGAAATAGAAAAAACATAAATAAGTTAAAACTAGTTAAAGGAAGGACAACTGATAAAATGAGACTTATGATTTAAAAGACGATACTGATGGTGCGAGACTTATCTCCTCAAGCAGGTCATTCTGAAGCCGAGGCAAAGCCTGGACTGAAAGGGCTTCGTCATCTTTGTCCGGAGGTTGGACTTTGGAACAGCCACAAGGACCTGAAGATCTAAGACTGAAGAGGAACAGTCAGAGGGACCTGAGGATCTAAGGCTCATACAGGGTTAAAATTTCTGAAATGTATCTCGGTCCAAGACCTAAAGGAGCTTTGAAAGTCATCAGTAAAATGTTCAAATCAATTCTAAAACACACAGACAGTGAAGGGAAGTAAAACAGGGTCATGTGTTGATGTTAGACCCTGGAGGAGCCGAGCTGCTGCTTCTGAACCAGTCGGAGGCGGGAGATGGATTTGGAGTCAAGGCCGGAGAAGAGGGAGGGACAATAGTCTAGACTGGAGAAGATGAGCGCGTGGATGAGTTTTTCAAGATCAAGGCGGTGGGGGGATAGTTTTGATTTTGCAAATTGTGAGACTTTTTTGGATGTGAAGGTGGAATTTGAGGTGAGAGTCAAAAATGATGCAGAGATTTATGTCAGCAGGGGCGATGTTGGGAGCGAGAAACTCTTTTCTGCATAGTTTGCAATAAACAGCTCCTCTGTCTGTTCCTTTGGGTCATTTTTTTGAGTAGAAATTTACCGTCCAGCAGACCCAGAGAACTTTCCTGCTCCACGTTGTTTGGCATAAAAACGAGGTAATGAATCATAATTCACACATTAATGTCTCAACCTTAATTTACATGATATCTTTTTTTTAAAGCATTATGAACTTTGAGGTGAAACGTTGAACAGCACAACTGCAGTTGATGTTCCCATAGACCGTGCTTCTCCTGCAGGTTTCGCTCTTCTACGCAGGGACTGGAGCAGAGTGTGTCTGAACGAGCGGCACATCAGGAAGTAGACCAGAGGGTCCAGACACACGTTCACCGAGGCCAACATGAGCGTCGCCTCCTTCACCTGGAACAGCACGAACCTGAGGAGCAGAAACAGGTGAGACGCTCCAAAAACTTAAACGTGCACAAAACCTCTGAACTGGAAAATCGAATGAAAACTCCCTGGGGATGTTCTTGTGTCTAACATGTTCCACAGTACGACACTGAACATAGTTCTCTTGCGTTTATTCAGTCACAGGAGTTTTTCTAGTTCAAAATCACAGACTGGACGTAACTGGACCTGACTCCTGATTGGCTCTTACAACAGCCAGACTCCATGAGCTTCATTTGTCTGGAGCTCACTCCCTTAGTCCACGTCTTTATACAGTCTGTGGTAAAACTGCACTTTCACTGTGAGTGAGCGCGCCTCTCCACAGATCTGACCTGTAACTTGGCCTGGCGGTGTCCCCCACTTGTAAAATACCATATTGTGGAACATTCGATGCAAAGCAAAAGCAAATCTAGCCCGTGTGGATCTCGTGTGTGGAGCGTTTGTGTGGACAGACCTGGAGTGCTGGCTGAATCCGGACCAGGGCATCTGGCTTAAAGTGTAGGGGATTCTGCAGAGGTGGTACGGGACGAAGCACAGGGCGAAGACGAGGAGGAGGCTGAGGATGCTGCGCCTCGACTTCCTGCAGACGGAAGAGTTTGAGCGAACGCGCCGACACGAGCGATACACGTGGACCCCGATGGAGGTGTAACAGGTCACCATGACAACCAGGGTCAGCCAGAACACGCCCACCGAGAAGATGGACGACGCCTGACCAAGACAGAAAGAGAGAGGAAGAGAGGAAGAGGCATGTGGGACAAATCTGGGTTAGATCATTGTCTGCATTTGACCCATTCTTAAATGTGCACTAAACACCCTCCTTTTACTCCTCCCCTAAGCAAAACCAGAAAAACCCTCCAGAGTGGGCGGTGCCTGGCGAGTTGGAGGCGGGCTCTGGAGTGATGATTGACAGCCGACCGACGGCCACAACAATCTAACGCGGCACTAAAATGTCAAAATAAGGAGGATGAGACCTTGTGCCAGCGCACGCCCAGCTCCGTCTTCAGATCCATGCAGCGTCTGGCGTTCGTCTCGTTGGCGTCGCGGCTCGTTAGCAGGACGTTAGGGAGCGTGCTCAGAAGCATCAGGCCCCACGTCCCCACGGCAACGGTGAAGGCGGAGCCAGGACTCTGCAGGAAGTGAACCACAGACACACGCCCAAAACTGGAGACACAAAGGGGAGGAGTTTATTCAGAGCTTAATGACATCACCTTAGGCTGTTGATATAAATGGACATTGCAAACATGAGAGCTGGCGTCTTCCAGCCAGGAAGTGTGGACATGTGGACATCTTAACACTGGAGTAGTGCATGAGCTGACCACTGGGGGCAGTAGTGAAGTTTAGCTCAAACAAAGCTAAAGGTTTAAGGCAGTAACAACAAATAAATGTCTCTCACTTCCAAAAGATGAGAACGGCTGTGGGCGCCGCCGTGTTTGTTTATTTGTTGCTCTATTTTGTTGTCAGTTCTCAAGGTGATTTTTAGCTCCCTCTGGTGGTTGTTTCACAGAACTCAGCCTTGATATTAGAAGTGTTTGGAAGTATAAAAGCAGCGATGGGACATAAGGGACGAGACCTACAGACATGAACTATGTTTGATACCTAAAGAATAAACAGGACATTTTGTATCACCTGAACTTCATTTTAATTTACTTACAGCAGCAGCATTAGTAGTACTCTCACATGTTGAGCTGCAGTAGTAGTAGTAGTAGATGTAGTAGTAGTAGTAGTAGTACTAGATGTAGTAGTAGTAGTACTCACACGGTGGGTTGGGAGTTTCGGACAATCTTGGTGTATCGTTCCAAACTGATGAGACCCATAAACATGATTCCAGTGTACATGGAGAAGTAAAACAAGACCGCCACAAACCTGCAAAAAAAAAAAAAAAAACTGGTTCAGTCCTGGTTTAGGTCTGGTTTGACCCTGATCAACCTGATCAACCTGACCAACATCATGAACCTGACCGACATCATGAACCTGACCAACATCATGAACCTGACTGACATCATGAACCTGACCAACATCATGAACATGTGATGATGTAATGGATGTGATGATGTGATAATGTAAAAGATGTGATGATGAGATGATGTAATGGATGTGATGATGTGATGATGTAATGGATGTGAATGATGTAATGGATGTGATGATGTGATGATGTAATGGATGTGATGATGTAATGGATGTGATGATGTGATGATGTGATGATGGATGAATGTGTGATGATATGGATGATGTGTAATGATGTGATGGATGTGATGATGTAATGGATGTGATGATGTGATGGATGTGATGATGTAATGGATGTGATGATGTGATGATGTAATGGATGTGATGATGTAATGATGTAATGGATGTGATGATGTAATGGATGTGATGATGTAATGATGTAATGGATGTGATGATGTAATGGATGTGATGATGTGATGATGTAATGGATGTGATGATGTGATGATGTGATGATGTAATGGATGAGATGATGTAAAGGATGTGATGATGTAATGGATGTGATGATGTGATGATGTAACGATGTAATGGATGTGATGATGTGATGATGTAATGGATGTGATGATGTAATGATGTGATGATGTGATGATGTGATGATGTGATGATGTATGATGTATGATGTGATGATGTGATGATGTGATGGATGTGATGATGTGATGATGTGATGATGTAATGGATGTGATGATGTGATGATGTGATGATGTGATGATGTAATGATGTGATGATGTAATGGATGAGATGATGTGATGATGTAATGGATGTGATGATGTGATGATGTAATGGATGTGATGATGTGATGATGTAATGGATGATGATGATGTGATGATGTAATGGATGTGATGATGTAGGATGTGATGATGTAATGGATGATGATGTGATGATGTGATGGATGTGATGATGTAATGATGTGATGATGTGATGATGTGATGATGTAATGGATGAGATGATGTGATGAAGTAATGGATGTGATGATGTAACGATGTAATGGATGTGATGATGATGATGATGTAATGGATATGATGATGTGATGATGTGATGGATGTGATGATGTAATGGATGTGATGATGTAAAGGATGTGATGATGTAATGGATGTGATGATGTGATGATGTAATGGATGTGATGATGTAATGATGTAATGGATGTGATGATGTGATGATGTGTTGATGTAATGGATGTGATGATGTAATGGATGTGATGATGTGATGATGTAATGGATGAGATGATATGATGATGTAATGATGTAATGGATGAGATGATGTAAAGGATGTGATGATGTGATGATGTAATGGATGTGATGATGTAACGATGTAATGGATGTGATGATGTAATGATGTGATGATGTAATGGATGTGATGATGTGATGGATGTGATGGATGTGATGATGTGATGGATGTGATGATGTCAGGATGTGATGAATGTGATGGATGTGATGGATGTGATGATGTGATGATGTCATGATGTGATGATGTCATGATGTGATGAATGTGATGGAGGGATGTGATGGTTCCAGTTTTCAGGAACCATGTTATTGGTGATATAACTGTAAGTTTTACGTTTTGCTGCACAAGTTGCTGCTCCAGTGACTGCAGCGAGTCCAGCCCTGCCCCCCCAATGAGTCGGTCCCAGGTTCTAAGTGTGCCTCATGGAGACAAAACTGTTTAGTTCTAGTCTAGTCCTGGTCCGGTCCTGGTCCAGTACCTGCACATGATCACGTGCAGTCTCCAGCCTCCCACCCCGAGCTGGGCCAGGAGTTTAAAGGGGAAGTAGATGAGCATGAGGAGGTCGGCCAGCAGCATGTTCTTCAGGTACACCACCAGGGCGGCGTCAGAGGGCACGCGGCAGAACACGAAGGAGGCCACGGCGTTCAGGAGCAATCCCACAATGCACAGGGCCAGGTAGAGCGGGGGCAGGACCTGAGGGAAACGCCCAAAACGATGAGTCACATGTATACTATACAGCAGGCATGTCCAAACTACAGCCTGTGGGCCAAACGCGGCCCTCGGACAAATCTTTCTTGGCCCTCAGGCTTCCAGGTGACTTGGCCCAAATTACCTTATATCAATTAAAAATTTACTTTTTACTGCAAGTTTTTTGAGAATCTATCTTGATAAAGCCAGTATTGAATATTCAGTTTGTGGTTTTAAGGATCTTGGTGTGAAGAAAGTCTGATGGCTCATTCTAACGTGTCAAACATGCACATATTTCAATTATTCACTGTGTTGAGCACCAGTGTATGGCCCTCAATCGGCCTCTGCTTCATCTGTGTTTACATATGTGGCCCTTGATGAAAAAAGTTTGGACCCCCCTGTTATACAGTCTCGTCGTGTAAAGAGTGTGACGTCACCCACAGCCTTCAGCTCCAAATGAAACTCATCAAGTCTAACGATTATAGTGGCAAATCCGGAGCTGAATTCTGACCGCGAGTGTCACAGGGACTAAAGAGCCAATCAGGAGCGAGGCTGTTGAAGGTAACGCCCCTTCCCGCCCACACCTCTGGTTTAACAGGGAGCGAACGCTTTGTAATGCTGAGACGCTGAGAGCACCTCAGGGAGCAAAGTCACCTGATCGATCTGTTATTAACGTCCAGATCTTGATTTAGAGATAAAATGTTGACATTTATTGAATAAAGTCAAAATGGTTATTGGCAAAATGGTAAAAAAAATAAATTAAAAAATGACACAGATCCGATTTTTTCAAATGTGACCCAGGCCACTTGTAGCCTGATTCATCAGCCCGTTTCACTTTGTAGAAACCGTCTGACCTCACAGCATTAGGATTTGTTCGCTCGACAGTAGGCGGGTACTTTTTTTATTTAACCAATCGCTGCTGTTTGGTTGTGACGTGTGTAATGCTCCACTAATGGGATTAACTGGTTTATTAAGCTTTTCCCAAATCCCATAAGAAGAAGAACAATAACGTCTTTCCCCTTGATAAAATTCACCAAACATTCTCTTTGTTCCGGCTTTAAATCTTCGGGGATCTTGGGAATCGTCGACAACACAGAATATATGACTCTTCACTGATTGGCTGGTGCCTGAACTCACACTTCTGGGGTTCTTGTAAACCGTCTATTGTCTTTTGATTCCTGGTCTAGTCGCTGGAGAGAAATGACATTGAGTGGAGGCAGTAGGTGGCGTATCCCCCTCACTGATGTTCATTTAGCATCAGAACTTATTTTATCTCACGGCGATAAACTATTTGAGTGCTCTGACAATTCGTGTGAACCTTGTGGTGTTAAACCACAGACCCGGAAATATGAATGAAAAATGTGCCAAAGACCTGTTAAAGACCTGGTTTAGATCTGGTTTAGACCTGTTATAGACCTGGTTTAGTCCTGTTATAGACCTGGTTTAGACCTGGTTTAGACCTGGTTTAGACCTGGTTTAGACCTGTTATAGACCAGGTTTAGACCTTTTATAGACCTGGTTTAGACCTGGTTTAGACCTGTTGTAGACCTGGTTTAGACCTGTTATAGACCAGGTTTAGACCTGGTTTAGACCTGTTATAGACTTGGTTTAGACCTGGTTTAGACCTGGTTTAGACCTGGTTTAGACCTGGTTTAGACCTGTTATAGACTTGGTTTAGACTTGGTTTAGACCTGGTTTAGACCTGGTTTAGACCTGGTTTAGACCTGGTTTAGTCCTGGTTTAGACCTGTTATAGACCTGTTGTAGACCTGGTTTAGACCTGTTATAGACCAGGTTTAGACCTGTTGTAGACCTGGTTTAGACCTGGTTTAGACCTTTTATAGACCTGGTTTAGTCCTGGTTTAGACCTGGTTTAGACCTGGTTTAGACCTGGTTTAGACCAGGTTTAGACCTGGTTTAGACCTGGTTTAGACCTGGTTTAGACCTGTTGTAGACCTGGTTTAGACCTGTTATAGACCTGTTATAGACTTGGTTTAGACCTGGTTTAGACCTGTTATAGACTTGGTTTAGACCTGTTGTAGACCTGGTTTAGACCTGGTTTAGACCTGGTTTAGACCTGGTTTAGACCTGGTTTAGACCTGGTTTAGACCTGGTTTAGACCTGGTTTAGACCTGGTTTAGACCAGGTTTAGACCTGGTTTAGACCTGGTTTAGACCAGGTTTAGACCTGGTTTAGACCTGGTTTAGACCTGTTATAGACCAGGTTTAGACCTGTTATAGACTTGGTTTAGACCTGGTTTAGACCTGTTATAGACTTGGTTTAGACCTGGTTTAGACCTGGTTTAGACCTGGTTTAGACCTGGTTTAGACCTGGTTTAACCACAGACATATATATGAATGGATAATGTGCCAAACAAAGAATCCGTCCATATCTTCACCTCATCGTTTTATTCTCTGCAGGATTCAAAGTGTGCGGTTTATAGTCCAGACTTTAGGGTATAAACACTGTATGTTTCAATCAATTATTCTCTGTTCTCTGTTCTAGTTTCCTCGTCACAATCATAAGTGGAGTTGTGTTTTGTTTCATTCACATGTTTGACTCTCAAACTCTGCACTTTTAGTTCTTCTGTCAAACTGAAAACCCTCTGTTCCTCTTTGTGACGTGACGTGAATCACTCACACTCACTCGTCTGTACTGTCAATTTAACAACATAAAGCCACAACAACAACAACTCTGCTGGTGTAGATTCTCCTGAGTTTAGTTTAGATTAACTCTGCTGGTGTAGATTCTCCTGAGTTTAGTTTAGATTAACTCTGCTGGTGTAGATTCTCCTGAGTTTAGTTTAGATTAACTCTGCTGGTGTAGATTCTCCTGAGTTTAGTTTAGATTAACTCTGCTGGTGTAGATTCTCCTGAGTCTCCACTGTCAGTTCAACACTGGCAGATTTACTGAGAACAACACTCCCTGAGAACTCTCCTACACACTGGTTTAGTCCTAGATTAGACCTGCTTTAGTCCTGTTACAGACCTGGGTTAGACCTGGTTTAGACCTGTTATAGACTCGGGTTAGACCTGGTTTAGACCTGTTATAGACTCGGGTTAGTCCTGGTTTAGACCTGGTTTGGTCCTGTTCTAGACCTGGTTTAGACCTGGTTTAGACCTGGTTCACGTTTGCTCTTTAAACATGGTGTTGTAAATGAAAGTTGAAAGTATGAGTGTTAAAGTGCGAGTGTTAAAGTGTGAGTGTTAAAGTGTTAAAGCGCGAGTGTTAAAGTGTGAGTGTTAAAGTGCGAGTGTTAAAGTGCGAGTGTTAAAGTCAGAGTGAGTTTGTTACCTCCTCTGTGAAGACGCTCCTGAAGTCTGAAGACGACGACAGGTTTGAGGGACGAGAAGATGAGTTCAGCCTGTCCTCCATCTGTCTGAGAGAGACCACACAGTCAGATGCCCTCCCACACTCCCACGCTCCCAGACCCCGTGTGTCAGATGCCCTCCCACACTCCCACGCTCCCAGACCCCGTGTGTCAGATGCCCTCCCACACTCCCACGCCCGGACCCCGTGTGTCAGATGCCCTCCCACGCTGTGGCATTGTGTAACCTAAATTTTAAGACTTTTAAAATGGATTTGACTCACAGATTGTCGGCTGTTCTTCGGTTTATGCTCCTGCTGTGAGTCCAGGTCCGGACCAGAAGGACGAGTCTGAACACAGTCAAAGATCATCTGTGACATGAAGCATCTGCACTCTGAGGAGCTCAAGAGTCACGACAGACAGACTCAAACTCAGAGAGGCAGAGTTTCAGGTTCACGCAGCTAAAACCTGGATGAGTCTGAACATGAGACACAGACTCGACTCTGACTCTGTTTAAATCCAAACTCTAAACCACAGGTGTCAAACATACGGCCCGGGGGCCAGATCCGGCCCTCCAACACCTTTAATTTGGCCCTTGGCTGATTTTCTACTAAAATATTTTAATTATATTTTCTATTAAAATGGTGTTAATTTTCTGTGGTGTTTATCACAGCAGCGTCTCCAGCGTCTCTGTACGTGGCCCCTCCCACCAGAGCAGCACAAATGAAGACTTGTCTCTTTCCAAACGCTCTTAAAGGACGATCGTTTTGACTGTTGACCGTGACACCCTCATCAGAAAAATGTCCAACATGAGAAAAGTGGAGCCGAGTGCAGGATTTTACAACAAAAATGGACTTATTCCTGTTTACAGACAAGTTCATGTTCAAACTTTGTGTTGAAATTACATTTTTCAGGTTTCAAGTTTCAGGTTGTTCATAATATTATAATATTTTGTAAAAGAAAGAGTTCATCAATTAAAAAAGATTTGTGTAATAGATTTGTGTTTCTCTGCACAAATATTTGAACTTCTTGTTATTTTTGGGGTTTATATGACATGAGTTTTCTGATCCGGACACTTTGGATCAGAGTCGGTTGGACACGACCCCCGGAACAACATGAGTTTGACTCTCCTGGACTAAACGCTTCTGTTCTGACTCAAAGGTTTTCATTCTGCACTCTTCTCTCACATTTATTCAATGAATGTCTCTCTCTCTTTTTAATTTCATGATGATTATTTATGTTTTGATTTGTTTTTATTGTGATATTCATGTATTTCTTATTCTGTAAAGCTCTTTGAATTACTTTGTGTATGAATTGTGTTATAAAAATAAACTTGCCTCGTCTCTGCTCCTCTGACTCATTTAAAACTGCAGAATAAAGTCAAACTCATTTGAAATGCAAATGCACACACACACACACACACACACACACACACACACACACACACACACACACACACACACACACACACACACACTGATTATTTCTATCAGAGTCAAGATTCATTATCAATTCACACCTCAACATCTGCAACACAAAAACCATCCACAAACTGAAATATGAAGTAGCAGCAGCAGCAGCAGTAGTAGTAGTAGTAGTAGTAGTAGTAGTAGTAGTAGTAGTAGTAGTAGTAGTAGTAGTAGTAGTAGTAGTAGTAGTAGTAGTAGTAGTAAATATAACAGTACCTGTCTCTGTCGGCGTTGAACCCTCAACTTTGCCTCTTCAGGAAACAAACTGAGAATGTGTAGACAGACCTTTGCAAATCAAATGTTCAAACCAGAACTAAACCAGGACTAAACCAGGACTAAACCAGGTCTAAACTCAGACTAAACTCAGACTAAACCAGGTCTAAACTCAGACTAAACCAGAACTAAACCAGGACTAAACCAGGACTAAACTCAGACTAAACTCAGACTAAACCAGGTCTAAACTCAGACTAAACCAGAACTAAACCAGGACTAAACTCAGACTAAACCAGGACTAAACTCAGACTAAACTCAGACTAAACCAGGTCTAAACTCAGACTGGTGCCTCTCTTCACCTGTCAGTTCTTTATCTGATGAGGAAACAGGATGCTCTTCTGTGATTGGTCGCTGCAGCTGTCAGTCACACAGCTTGGTTATTATATTTGGGACGGTGGGGACGTCCTGCGACTACCAGAACAGTTTTTACAGACTCGCCTTGATAAAAATATTGATCATATTGATTTGTGTGTGTGTGTTGTGTGTGTGTGTGTGTGTGTGTGTGTGTGTGTGTGTGTGTGTGTGTGTGTGTGTGTGTGTTGTGTGTGTGTGTGTGTGTATGTTGTGTGTGTGTGTGTGTGTTGTGTGTGTATGTGTGTGTATGTGTGTGTATGTGTGTGTGTGTGTGTGTTGTGTGTGTGTGTGTGTGTGTGTGTGTGTATGTTGTGTGTGTGTGTGTGTGTGTGTGTGTGTGTGTGTGTGTATGTGTGTGTGTGTGTGTGTGTATGTGTGTGTGTGTGTGTGTGTGTGTGTGTGTGTGTGTGTGTGTGTGTATGTGTGTGTATGTGTGTGTGTGTGTGTGTGTGTGTGTGTGTGTGTGTGTGTGTGTGTGTGTGTGTGTGTGTGTGTGTGTGTGTGTGTGTGTGTGTGTGTGTGTGTGTGTGTGTGTGTGTGTGTGTGTGTGTGTGTGTGTGTGTGTGTGTGTGTGTGTGTGTGTGTGTGTGTGTGTGTGTGTGTGTGTGTGTGTGTGTGTGTGTGTGTGTGTGTGTGTGTGTGTGTGTGTGTGTGTGTGTGTGTGTGTGTGTGTGTGTGTGTGTGTGTGATGTGTGTGTGTGTGTGTGTGTGTGTGTGTGTGTGTGTGTGTGTGTGTGTGTGTGTGTGTGTGTGTGTGTGTGTGTGTGTGTGTGTGTGTGTGTGTGTGTGTGTGTGTGTGTGTGTGTGTGTGTGTGTGTGTGTGTGTGTGTGTGTGTGTGTGTGTGTGTGTGTGTGTGTGTGTGTGTGTGTGTGTGTGTGAATATCTCCTAGCAGCCTCTCTGTTTGTGTCTTTACTTCCTGTTCTCAATCTCTCGATCTCTGTTTTTGTTTTTTTTTTGCTGAGTCGTGTTACGTTGAGTAAATCTTTAAATAACAGATCACAGGAAGCTGAGGGTGAAACACACTGACATGATAAAAAGTCCAGAAATAAAATGAACACTTCACTTCTGAAACAGACGTTTGTGTGTCGACGCCAACGCTGATGCTAAAATTACAAAAACACCACAAACTGAAGCACGAGTACATCTCAAAAACACATTTCACAAAGTCAAACACAAATATATATATATATATATATATATATATATATATATATATATATATATATATATATATATATATATATATATATATAAATCTTCCAGTGTTCTAACAGTTTAGTGAAATATTTGGCCTGTTTTACTTGTTTCAGCGCCGTTTATTTTCCACATGTTTAAAGGAGTAAGACAGTAGAGCTCAGCCCCACACCAACACCATGAACAACCACAGACACACACCACAGACACACACCAACACCATGAACAACCACAGACACACACCAACACCATGAACAACCACAGACACACACCACAGACACACACCACAGACACACACAACACCACATGAAACAACCACAGACACACACCACAGACACACACCAACACCATGAACAACCACAGACACACACCACAGACACACACCAACACCATGAACAACCACAGACACACACCACAGACACACACACACACACACAGACACACACCACAGACACACACCACAGACACACACCACAGACACACACCAACACCATGAACAACCACAGACACACACCACAGACACACACCAACACCATGAACAACCACAGACACACACCACAGACACACACCAACACCATGAACAACCACAGACACACACCACACACACACCATGAACAACCACAGACACACACCACAGACACACACCAACACCATGAACAACCACAGACACACACCACAGACACACACCAACACCATGAACAACCACAGACACACACCAACACCATGAACAACCACAGACACACACCACAGACACACACAACACATGACACCAACACACACAACACCATGAACAACCACAGACACACACCACAGACACACACAACACCACACACACACAGACACACACACACACACACCAACACCATGAACAACCACAGACACACACCACAGACACACACCAACACCATGAACAACCACAGACACACACCACAGACACACGCTCCAACACCATGAACAGCCACAGACAGATGTGCGCTGGTCCACATGAGGACTGTGATGCCGTCGCTGTATCAGACCTCAGTGGTGAAGGAGGAGCTGAGTCAAAAGTCAAAGCTCTCGATTTACAGCTTAATCTATGTCTCTGCTTTCACTTGGTCCCGTTTGTTCTGGTTTAGACCTGGTTTAGACCTGGTTTAGACCTGGTTTAGATCCTACTCTCTCTAACCCTTGAGCTTTGGGTAATGACTGAAAGGACAAGGTGGCAGATCCAGAGGTAGTGTGAGGAGACGTCTTGAGGAGCTCAGTCACACGGGAGGAACTCAGAGCTGCTGCTGTTCCACGTGGAGATCAGCAGCTGAGGCTCAGGCGTTTGTTCTGGACACCTCCATGTCGAGGACCCAGGAGGCGCTGGAGGGACTGTGTCTCTCAGCTGGCCTGGGAATGCCTTGGGGTCCACTGGAGGAGCTGGAGGAAGTGTCGGGTTGAGGAAAGTCTGTGGGTCCCTGTTTAGACGGCCGCCCCCCTGACCCAACCCCACATAAAGAGAAAGAAAATGGATGGATGTTAAAAAAATACTTTCCACCTCTCAGATCCTGTCTGTTTTGCTTGAAAAAACATGAGTTATTAGTCCATAAACAATTGAGCCAGTGGAATTTGATCATAATTTATATTTTTTTTAAAAATCACAGACTCCAGAGTCACATCACACTGACCCAACGGTTGAGGAATAAGAATAATGGTCTTTATTGTCAACTCTCTTCACATGTAAATACAAAGGAAAACTGGACCCCTCCCCCGTCGAGAAAAACAAAAGAGAAGCAGCCCAGACCCCAGACCCCAGACCCCAGACCCCAGACTGGGCTCTCGTGGTTTGGAGGAGAACAAAAAAACAACACCTCCACACCTCAGCACAGAGTCAAAACACTGAACAAACGTTTCACAGGACGAGCAGCAGGAGAAGGAGGGATGTGAACCCAACACAGGCAGGAGCATCTGGATCCACAACTATAAAGCACCTCTTTTTTTTTTTTTTTACTGTCTGAGTGTGAATCTGTCAGTGAATGAGGTTCTACAGAGTCTGATAACGAGGCAGGGGTCAGGGCAAACTATGGCCCAGGGGCCATATGCGGCCCTTTAAACCTTTTAATTGAATAGTCGAGTTTGAGCTGACGTCATTGTTATTAAAAGTCTGCGTTGCTGCTGGGAAATATTTTGGTCGGAGGCAAGAAACACGGTAGCGTCAAACACAGTTTGTAACCTCGTGTATTTCTCCTTGATAATGGTAAATTCCTGCTGCATTATCAGATGAACAAATAGAAACACAGAAGAAGGAAAATGTCTTTTTCGTATTCTGAGTGAAAAGAACCACTAACGGTGAATTAAACGACTTTCAAACATCCGCAGAGCAAACGTAGAAGATCCTAACAAACCGTGGACTCAACAAGTTCAACAACACATCCAGACTCTTGGAGGTTTTCATCTTTTCTGCTGTGAATGGCCCAGGAGTTTCCACCAAGTCATTGTGGATGTCGCCCAAGTGAATATTTGTCCAGGGAGTTGGAGATTCTGACCAGAAATGTGGTTTGGTCCAGACTCTGTCGGGGTTGAAAAGGGTGATTTGTCGTCCGTCGATGTTTATGACCAATTTCTGGTCAAATGGTCTTGGGTCGTCTGCCGTTAGAGTGGATCAATAACCAGGATCAATACCCTTTACCTGTTTTCTCGCTCCGTCCGTCATGTTGAATTAGTGTTTCTTGTCGCCGACTAAAATAATTCCCATCATGCAACACACGCTTTTGTCAACAATGAAACTCGCCTATAAAAACTAAGAACTAAGAATTTGAATAAATTATAATAATAAACTTTGTCGATGTTTTATTTTTCCTGCATTTCCACTGCACTGTTTCTGTTTAAGACATTGTTCTGTGAAATTGAAAACTTGGAAACCTCATGTTACAAAGTCTTCACGAATGGAGCGTTGGAATTTATAATATATCAGTTTTTTTTGAGTGGAGGGTCCGGTTGGGCCTGGACTTTTACAGGTATTGATGTCGAGAAGAAGCACTGAAGTGTTCCATCCGTTTGCTCGACTGTTGAGCCGATGCTTCAAGGTGTGGACAAAAAATATATAATAGAGTGATAATAGCACAGGGGAGGGCAAACTTTCTGGCTCGTGGGCCACAAAGGTTCTAAAATTTGACTGAATGATGGAGTAGAGAGAAAAAAATAACATGAGAAATGTAGAAAACCTGAGCTTGAATTTCAATTGAAAATCACTACAAAACATCACAACAAAATATGTGTCTTTTTAAAACACTGAAAACTAAATTAATAAAATACATTTTGTTTTATTACTAACAGTTTGTATTTTAAAGCAGTGAAAGTTGTGTTCTCCTTCAGGATCTTCTCATCGTCTCTCTCCTCATGACTTTATTTCAAAAACAGTAGAAGATGCAGATCGACTTCTGTTCAATGTTCGTCTCCAAAACTCAACAGCGACCGACACGAGGACAGAACAGAGTCAGTGTGTCGGTCTGAGAGAGAACGAGTTAGATTTGATCTGGTGTGTTGTTCATCATGAGTGTGTTTACATCAACATCAGTGTCTCGATTACGATCGGGTTTTTTGAGGATCTGGGTTTTGTCACGGTGCATGTAAACGCACTAACCCAGTTACTGTGATGTAAAATTGAGTGCAAACGTGTCCAAAAGGCAAATACTTCTCAGTCTTTTCATCACAACAGCAGCGACATAAATAAAGTGACTATAAATGAGTGAAGTGACTGTAAAATAAATAAATGAATCTGCACTCGTACGACCTGCACACGTGTGATCACTGAAAACTTACACATGAAACATCTACGATATAAACACAGACCAGACTCACCATCAGCAGAACACCCCTCTGTCACAGAAAGAACGACTCATATTCCACTGAGTCACTGTGTCCTTTAGTCCAACAGAAGCTGAACCACATCAGAGACACAAGGAGTGAGTTTTTTTCTTTTTTTAATCAGAGCTGTTTATTTTTTTTTTTTATCAGCGTTAACAGTTTATGCAAATGAGCCATGTGGTTTTAAGTTCTGTTTTTGTAAAACATAAACAAATGTGGCAAAGCTGAATTATCTGATCAAACAGACTGATGTGGTTATGTTTTTGATTTAGTAAAGTTGAGTTTATTTCTGTGTGTGACTTGTACAATGTTTGGAGACGTTGGGTTTGACGTTTGATAAAACTGAAAGGTTTTCATTCCGCACTCTTCTCTCCAATTTATGTCTCTCTTTTTTAATTTTAATCTTCATGATTATTTATGTTTTGATTTGTTTTTATTATGATTTTAATGTATTTCTTATTCTGTAAAGCACTTTGAATTACTTTGTGTACGAATTGTGCCGTACAAATAAACTTGCCTTTGACGTGTGCAGTGTGCAGCTCCTCACCGCTCGTTAGAACCTCCCGAGTTTCCTCTGCTGAAGGAGCTCGACCGGGACACTCCACTTGATCATGTCACAGGGATGTGAGTGTTTCTCAGGCGCATGGAAACACAGTATCTCCAACACCGACACAACCGGGATACAGAGAATAACTGGAACAGTGAATGTGTTTACATGAACATCAATAACCCGGGTTTTTTGAGTGTCCCGGTTTCTTGATGGTTCATGTAAACGCAGTAACCCGGTTTCAGTGTCCTGGTTATTAGAAACTGTGTTACTGTAGCTGGTTTATTCTGATAGTAACTGTGATACTTGTGACATGTAAACACAGTATCCTGTTACTGCAACATAAAGTTGAGTCACATGTGTCCAAAAGACACTTTCAGGTCTTTTCACCACAACAGTAGAGACATAAATAAATTGACGAACATAAATAAAGTGACCAACATAAATAAAGTGACCAACATAAATAAATTGACCAAACGAGTGAAATGACTGTAAAATAAAGAGCTGCACTAAACCTGCACATGTACAATCTGCACTCGTGTGACGCTGAAAAACTAAAACATGAACTATCTCCTGTACGACACACACACAGAACAGACTCACCATCATCAGCACCTCTTCTGTCACTAAAACAACTCACATAATCCACTGAGTCGAGTCTTTTAGTCCAAAAGAAACTGAATCACATCAGCGACACAAGGAGCAGCTGATTTTATCACCACTAACAGTTTATGTTAATTAGCCAAACGGTCTTAAGTTTCGTTTCTGTAAAACGTAAACAAATGTGATCAGAGCTGAATGATCTGATCAAACGGCTGATGTGTCTATAGTGTTTATGGTTTATATGTTGTAAAGTTGAGTTTATTTATTCTGTGCAGTGGATTGTGGGAGATCTCATAGTTTGTATTTTTCCTGGTTTATGAAATTGATTTAAGTTAATTTTTGCGCTTGTGCATTTGTAAGATTATGTCAAGAAACCGGGACACTCCATTTGATCATGTCCACGTGGATATGAGTGTCCAGGTTTGTCAGTGCTCATGTAAACACAGTAACACGAACACTGACAGAACCAGGACATGGACAATAACCGGGTTATTGATGCACATGTGACGCACTCACTGATGTGCACAGGCCCAGAGTCTCATATCAGCAGATAAGACACTCACCCAGAGCCACGTGTGTCTGGAGCCACATCTAGTTTAACCTTCACCATATTTACTACAGTTAAACTGCCTAAACTGGAAATTCCCTCTGGTCAACATGAACGATTGTGTCACTCCCCTGTAAACAGTGACGTGTCCTTCATGTCGAGGTTTGGAAGTGTGTGTCGATTAATCCAGGAAGTCTTCGGTGAAGTGTATCGAGGTTTGTATCGGTGACGTGTGTGGTGACGTTCGAAGCCTCGTGAACCGTCCGAACCACGTGACCGTTTCAGGAAGTGCTTCGTGGATTTGGAGTGCGATTTGAAACATAAAGGCCAAAGAAACGCAACAGATTCACCCAAAATATTTTGTGGTTTTGGTTTGTTGCGAGTTTGGTACATTCTGTTTGAGATTCAACAAACCTTTGACTGACTAAATCATCCTGAGTTTACAGAGAACATTTTGTATGTGGAGCGACAACAAAGCAGAACCTGAATCGCTCACTCAACCTCGGTTACGAATTTAAAAAGTCAACACCAAAGTGAAAGTCTCCAACTGTTCACCAAGAAACACCTTCCACTGCAAAGACCAAGACGTGATGTTTGTGTAAAACCACAAGAACAAGAAAGTGCAGCTCAGTCTGTTTGTCTTCTGCTCCTCTACATTAACAAACAGGATTTTGTTTTGTTGTGGCTCCACATACAAAATGTTCTCTGTAAACTCAGGATGATTTAGTCAGACAAATGTTTCCTTTTTGTTTCTTCCTGTGGATCAATCCTGCCCATCACCTTCACCTTTCACTATTTTTCAATTCTGTTGGGAAGAGAAACAGTTTGAACAGAGGTTTGAGTCACACACATCTGATTCACTTTTGCATTTATAAAGTTCACAAACACATTTCTCGAGCCGTTTTCCGCTGTTTGGATCCAACAACCACAACAATTACGACGTTCAAATCCCAAAACTAAAATATGACAATATCAGAACCAGAAACAAAAGTGAAATGGTTCAAAAGACTTGAAAAGATCGACTTTGACAATAAACACATCCCACTGGGAAAACAAACATGGAGGTTTGACGCTCACTTTTTCAGAAAATCCTTCTCAGTGTGAACTGCACAATGATCAGAAGTCTGAGATTCTTGATGTGTGTTTGAGAGTGAGTTTTATATCACCTGTTCTTCGTTACACTTTGTTGTTAGTTTGGGCCGACTTTTCCTTTCTCCTTGTTCCTCATTAAATGTATAATGTTGTGTTTTATGCCGTGTTTAGTTGATTTCTATTTACCGATACCGAAACACGCCTCGTCACACGGTCACTAGGCAGACCTCGAGCGAGCATTGGATTTACCTTTGTGGCCACCAGAGGGAGCCATGCTTGGTATTTATTTTTGCGACCACCAGATGGAGCTCTTGTGTTTAATGACATTTGTTTTCTGACAGTGTCATGTATAGATGTATAGATAGATAGAGCATATTTTTATAATTTTAAATACTTTTTTTTTTTTTTTTTTAAATCATGTACCTTCATCAACAGTTCAAAGATGGAATAACACAAGATATGATGAAATACATCCATTTATTTACATGATTTTTGCAGGTCTTTGAAATTTGGGAAATAATTTTTGTTCCATGTTTCATTCATGGTCTGTTTAAAACGTATGGAACTTTAGAACCAAAAATGGAACAGAAAAAAGGTCAACAGTTTGATAAACTAGAGAACATATGTATCTGTTCAATACACTTTTATATCAGATGAATTAACTTGAAGTTTTGGCCTTGTTGTTTACTTCTGCTTGACCGGGCCCAGATGTTTGTCATTGTCTAAATATTTCAGTATCTGGTTCCATCAAAAAGCAACTTTTGTTTCAGTCTCTCTCCACTCCCTGAGCTGAATGTTCATCTCCTGGTACTCAGCCCACGACACAACTGCACTGACCTCTTTTAGTACAGTGGACTTACCTAGTAGTAACACACACAAGACAAGACAAGCAACAACAAACGGTCCAAAAAACAGATTTTATTTTCTAATTCTAACATTTGACTTCAGTTTTTCATCACAATAAAACAAAAGAATAAACATCTGTGGGCGGCAAACAAGAGTCAAAACAGAATAAAAAGACAAAATGCAGTTGCAGGTTTGTCTCTGATTAGGAAAGTGCAGTGAAGAAGAACTAAAAGCTCCACGAGAAAAACAAGACAATGAAGAATAAGATGGACAAACTTCAGCTAAAACCTCTTTCTAATAATAAAAAAAAATCTGTACATCATTTTACACTTTTATATTTGACACTAGGCAGAGCTCGAGTCCACAGTCCGGAGTCTCTGAAGTCTGATCTGCAACGATTTTCTTCATTATTTGTCTCCAAAACCAAAATGAAAAAACAGATGAATGATTCTTTTTTTCAGTTTTTGATTTTGGTGTTTAAATGAAAAATGGAAAAAACGGAAAACGACTGCGACTGTTTCCCGTTTACGTGACTTAAACTACGATGCCGAACTTTTGCGCCGCATACGGACTGAACCAGGACTAGACCAGTCTCAGTCCTGATCACCCGACAGTCTACACAGGCGCACCTCACGTTTAGTCACACTCAGCAGTCCTGGTTTAGTCCTGGTTTAGTCCTGGTTTAGTCCTGGTTTAGACCTGGTTTAGACCTGGTTTAGTCCTTTAGTCCTGGTTTAGACCTGGTTTAGTCCTGGTTTAGTCCTGGTTTAGTCCTGGTTTAGTCCTGGTTTAGACCTGGTTTAGTCCTTTAGTCCTGGTTTAGTCCTGGTTTAGTCCTGGTTTAGTCCTGGTTTAGTCCTGGTTTAGTCCTTTAGTCCTGGTTTAGACCTGGTTTAGTCCTGATTTAGTCCTGGTTTAGTCCTGGTTTAGTCCTTTATACCTGGTTTAGACCTGGTTTAGTCCTGGTTCAGACCTGGTTTAGACCTGGTTCAGTCCTGTTTTAGTCCTGGTTTAGACCTGGTTCAGTCCTGTTTTAGTCCTGGTTCAGTCCTTTAGACCTGGTTTAGTCCTGGTTCAGTCCTGGTTTAGACTTGTTTTAGTTCTGGTTTAGTCCTGGTTCAGTCCCGGTTTAGACCTGGTTCAGTCCTGGTTTAGTCCTGGTTTAGTCCTGGTTCAGTCCTGGTTCAGTCCTGGTTCAGTCCTGGTGTAGTCCTGGTGTAGTCCTGGTTCAGTCCTGGTTTAGTCCTGGTTTAGTCCTGGTTCAGTCCTGGTTCAGTCCTGGTTTACTCCTGGTTCAGTCCTGGTTCAGTCCTGGTTTAGACTTGTTTTAGTCCTGGTTTAGTCCTGGTTTAGTCCTGGTTCAGTCCTGGTTCAGTCCTGGTTCAGTCCTGGTTTAGTCCTGGTTTAGTCCTGGTGTAGTCCTGGTTCAGTCCTGGTTCAGTCCATTTTCCATTTTTTTCCATTTTTCATTTAAAAACAAAAACAAAAACTGAAAAAAATGAATCATTATCTGTTTTTTCATTTTGGGTTTGGAGACAAATAATGAAGAAAACTACAGTTTTTTCGTTTTCTTATTTTTGGTTTTATTTTGAAAAACCAATGAACGAAGGACACATGGATTATTCTGGGCTTCTGCTGCTGGAGAGGAAACCGCTGCCTGCCTCTATTTTACACCCTGCACTTTTTTATAATGATTGAAAAATAAAAAAAACTAAAAGTAAACTGTGGACCACCGCTTCACGTTTTTATCTGTGTTTTTAAAACCTTACTCACTGAACCCCAACCCGCTCATGGTCCACCTACATCACACTAAAAAAACAAAACAAAACAAAAACTGTACATCATTTTAAGGTTTTATATTTGACACTAGGCAGAGCTCGAGTCCACAGTCCGGAGTCTCTGAAGCCTGATCTCCAGCTTTTTGAGTCTGACTTTAGGCTCACATGACGCGGCCTCGGCAGCTCTTTCTCCTTTACTGTGTTCCAGAGGGTGGAGCTTCAGACGAGCGGGTTTCCTCCGAGTCCTTCCACGCTGGTCAGAGCTGCAGCTTTTCTCTTCAGTCTGGAACATTTGGACACGTTTCAGACGCTTCCCCACAGACCCGGAAGCCTTCCCTCTCTCTTCACGGTCTGAGTCGTCTCCTGTGTGCTTTCGGTAGTGACTGGAGAGCTCCTTCGATGTTCTGAAGAACTTTTCACACTGGTCACACTCATATCGTCTGTGCAAGAAGTGAATTCTCATGTGTTTACTGAGATTGTATGATACAGAGAAAGTTTTCCCACACTGGTCACACTCATATGGTTTTTCACCTGTGTGGATTCTCATATGTGACGTTAGGTGGTTTGATTGTGAAAATGTCTTTTCACACACATCACATCTGTACGGTTTCTCTCCTGTGTGGACTCTCATATGTTGATGGAGGGCACCAGACTGTCTAAATTCCATCCCACACTGGTCACACTCATACGGTTTCTCTTCTGTGTGGATTCTCATATGTGACGTTAGGCTGCTTGACGTTGAAAATGTCTTTTCACACACATCACATCTGTACGGTTTCTCTCCTGTGTGGACTCTCACATGTTGATGGAGGGCACCAGACTCTCGAAATCCCTTCCCACACTGGTCACACTCGTACGGTTTTTCACCTGTGTGGATTCTCATATGTAGATGGAGGGCACCAGACTCTCGAAATCCCTTCCCACACTGGTCACACTCGTACGGTTTTTCACCTGTGTGGATTCTCATATGTGACGTTAGGTTGCTTGACGTTGAAAATGTCTTTTCACACACATCACATCTGTACGGTTTCTCTCCTGTGTGGATTCTCATATGTGACGTTAGGTGGCTTGATAGTGAAAATGTCTTTTCACACACATCACATCTGTACGGTTTCTCTCCTGTGTGGACTCTCACATGTTGATGGAGGGCACTAGACTGTCTAAATTCCATCCCACACTGTTCACATCTGTACGGTTTTTCACCTGTGTGGATTCTCATATGTTGATGGAGGGCACCAGACTGTCTAAATTCCATCCCACACTGGTCACACTCGTAAGGTTTTTCACCTGTGTGGATTCTCATATGTGACGTTAGGTGGCTTGATTGTGAAAATGTCTTTTCACACACATCACATCTGTACAGTTTTTCACCTGTGTGGATTCTCATATGTGACGTTAGGTGGCTTGATTGTGAAAATGTCTTTTCACACACATCACACTCGTACGGTTTCTCTCCTGTGTGACTTCTGTAGTGTATTTTCAGTTGGGACGCACATGCCCACACCTTTCCACACTGGTCACATGTGAAGGCCATTCTGTCGCTGGATCTCGGAGCTCTGCTTTGGAAGAAAAGAAAGAAAGTGTTAAGTAAAATACCTTTTTAAAATTCATTATTAATTACTCATTGCATTTATACAGCGCCTTTCAAGATACCCAAAGTGCTTTACAGTTCATTATTCATTCACTCAACACTCAGTGGTGTAAACGCTGTATTCTACTGTAGCCGCAGCTGCCCTGGGGCAGACTGACGGAAGTGAGGCTGCCAATCAGCGCCATCAGCCCCTCTGACCACCATCACTCACACACACACCACTTTCATACTAGGCAATGTGAGTGAAGTCAAGTGTCTTGCCTAAGGACACAATGACAGTTTTTGCCAATGGTGTCTCCTGTGGCTCCTGATTTTCCCAGTGGTCTTCATCCAAGTACTAACCAGGCCCGGCCCTGCTGAGCTCCTGAGATCTGACGGGATCAGGTTTTGACAAACTGCTGTGGCCACAACGAAATACACATAAAATCACAGAGTCACACGTGAATGTTTCAGTGTGTGTTTACAAGCAAGTTATAGTTTGTATTTTATATTAAAGGCACACTTTCTGTCAGATCAGGTTGTTGTTGGGGCTGGGTGTGAGTGGTGGGTCAGGTTGTTGTGGGTGTTGGGGCTGGTTGTTGTGGGTGTTGGGGCTGGTTGTTGTGGGTGTTGGGGCTGGTTGTTGTGGGTGTTGGGGCTGGTTGTTGTGGGTGTTGGGGCTGGTTGTTGTGGGTGTTGGGGCTGGTTGTTGTGGGTGTTGGGGCTGGTTGTTGTGGGTGTTGGGGCTGGTTGTTGTGGGTGTTGGGGCTGGTTGTTGTGGGTGTTGGGGCTGGTTGTTGTGGGTGTTGGGGCTGGTTGTTGTGTGGGGGCTGTTGGGGCTGGTTGTTGTGGGTGTTGGGGCTGGTTGTTGTGGGTGTTGGGGCTGGTTGTTGTGGGTGTTGGGGCTGGTTGTTGTGGGGTGTTGGGGGCTGGTTGTTGTGGGTGTTGGGCTGGTTGTTGTGGGTGTTGGGGGGTTGTTGTGGGTGTTGGGGCTGGTTGTTGTGGGTGTTGGGGCTGGTTGTTGTGGGTGTTGGGGCTGGTTGTTGTGGGTGTTGGGGCTGGTTGTTGTAGGTGTTGGGGCTGGTTGTTGGGGCTGGGTGTGAGCGGCAGATCAAGCCAAACGTTCACATTTACTTCTATTTTTAACACTTTAACACCTTATTTGATGCATATTATAAACTTATTAGACGTGTTAATTGTTATTTATCAAATTGTTTTTATTTGATGCGTCAATTTATTCTCCATATGATAATGATCCTCCCACTGATTTTCAATGTCAATGAATTTAAAGTGTTTTCAGCAAATCACTGACCAAGACAAAGAGTCAGAACAACACCAGTGTCCCTGTGCACGTCCTGTTCTCTTACTAAATAAACCTTACACTGTGTAAATTAACATTTATCAAATTTAAAACTGTTGTATTGTACCTCAACGTATTTCTCTTTTCAGTATGTCAGCCATAAATATTTTACAAAGACTCCTTTAGTCCTGATTATTTCAGTGGGACATGGAAAGGAGCAGATCTGCTGTGAATCACTGCAGTGGTGTCTACTGAGATTTACAATGTCTCACTACAGCATCAGGCTGATCTGTGTCGGCCGATCCACAGCACCGGTCTGATCTGTTTATTCAAATCTAACAGCTCAACATGTAAAAGAATCACTCTCCGTTCCTCGACTTATTGCGCCTCTAGTGGCAAATGCAATAAAATGCAATAGCAGAAAATGAAGTTCGAGTGTTTAATTTTCTCTTTTGACATTTGCGTACGGACAGTTAAATAATCATATGTTTAATGGCCGACAGACTGAAAAGATAAAAACGTTGAGGTGCATTTTAAATTTGATAAACGCATCAAATTACAATGTCTATAGCAAGCCAATAATGCCACATTTACGCATTAGGCACTTACATTTCAATATAAATTACGCCGTTTTTCAGATATGATGCCGCTTTTTTCGATGAAAATTCACCAACATGCGCCTCTTTTTACACCATAATGATGTTCCAGAACAATGTGCGTATTTTACATGTGTTTTGCACATCAAGACGCGCAGCTTTTACGTGCGTCGGTGCCAACTACTGATATGATAATCATGTCCATCCCTTTTTTCTGGCCACCAATAAATTAGAAGTGTTTGGCCCGATCACTGATCAGGAACAGCAGACCAAGACAGTTGAGGGTAACGGCTGAGGATTCTTCAGGTCGGAAACAGAAGACAGGACAGAGTGTGGAGTCAAATCATGTATCATTCGTTCATTTGTTTTTCTATATAAAACCAAAATATGAAAATTTAAAAAACAACCGTTTTCTTCATTATTTATGTCCAAAACCAAAATGAAAAAACTGATGATTTGTTTGTTCAAAATAAAACACACTGGTCGTCCGGTCGGGGAGAATCCTGAGACGGCGCCTCTGGTGAAATGGAAGAAGTGATGAAAATCCACCACCTCTTCCTGTTTATCATCCACCTCCCACCCAGGACAGAGACGCTTCTGCTCCCCAAGGTTTTCTCTTTCTACCTTTATTTTTAACCTTTTATCACTGCTAGTAATGTTAGAAAAGTACAAAAGTAATATTAGAAGAAGAAAAGTAATGGTAGAAGTAGAAAAGTACTGGGAGAAGTAGAAGTAGAAAAGTAATGGTAGAAGTAGAAAAGTACTGGGAGAAGTAGAAGTAGAAAAGTAATGGTAGAAGTAGAAAAAGAAAAGTAATGGTAGAAGTAGATGTCAAGTGAAAAAGCCGAGCCCCTGCACCGACTCTTCACCTTCACTCCTGATCCCTCTTCTTCTTCTTCTTCTTTTTTGAGTTGATGATGTTATTTTTAGTGTGGCCAGTAGGTGGCAGCAAGACAAACCTCAGGTGACCAGGTGTGTCTCTGGAACCATTTGATTGGGCCCAGGTGAACAAACACAAACAGAACCAAACGAAGGAACGTGAAACACAGAGACACTGGTGAGGAAATTTACCTTTAAAATTAGTTTAAGTTTAGTTAAAGTAAATAGTCAATTCAATTTAAGTTTGAAAATGCCAAAATAGAGCTAAGGTGAATAACTAAACTGTTTATTTATAAAGTAGTAAATCTGATTTATAGTAAATGATGTAAATTCTAAGTTAAAGTAGCTCGAGTTAAAAAATATATATGTTATTTAGCAATTAAAAAAACAAAACAATGTGTTTATTTATCAAAATTTATCTTCAAATAATAAAATATTACAATTTCATGTACTCATTTAAAACTGTATAAAAAGTTATATTACAGGATTAAAAATGTATTGGTCAAATGATTGGTTAAATTTATAGCTATTTAAGTTCATGTATAAAATGTAAAGTAAATATTATAAAATACAATAAATATTATATATAAATAATAAATATTATAATGGAAGTGTATTAATTAAAATAGATTATATAACTAATGAAATTGGAAAATGTAAATTTTATTTCATTACACATTTGTTTAATTTAAAGGTACTACTACTACCACTACTACCACCACTACAACTACCACTACAACAACTACTACCACTACTACCACCACTACTACTACTACTACCACTACTACTACAAACAAATTATTTCAATAAAAACTTCAATCCGAGTTGAGTCTTGTGTCTGTTTCCGTTTTTTTGTTTTTTCAAGTTGGACCTGCATTCCAAAAGTAATATTAGAAGTAACAGAGTAGTAGTAGTAGTAGTAGTAGTAGTAGTAGTAGTAGTAGTAGTAGTAGTGTTTCCTTTTGACCTGGATTTGACCACTTCCTGTCAGCACCTGCCTGACAAACGGAAGTAAACGTGGAACAAACGGTACGAGCAGATGTGCTGCTGCTGTTTTAACGACTTTGTGTTGTGACAGGAAATCGAACGAGGACAGAGGCACAAACGGAAGACGGAACAGACTCGTGTTTGGACTAAAGAGGAGGAACAGACTCGTGTTTGGACTAAAGAGGAGGAACAGACTCGTGTTTGGACTAAAGAGGAGGAACAGACTCGTGTTTGGACTAAAGAGGAGGAACAGACTCGTGTTTGGACTAAAGAGGAGGAACAGACTCGTGTTTGGACTAAAGAGGAGGAACAGACTCGTGTTTGGACTAAAGAGAGGAAACAGACTCGTGTTTGGACTAAAGAGGAGGAACAGACTCGTGTTTGGACTAAAGAGGAGGAACAGACTCATGTTTGGACTAAAGAGGAGGAACAGACTCGTGTTTGGACTAAAGAGGAGGAACAGACTCATGTTTGGACTAAAGAGGAGGGGGGGACTCTCAGTTTTGAAGGCTGTACCAAATGGTGAAGTTTTTTGAGTGCATCACATGTGCATATTAAACATTGAATGTATATATTTGTTTGACTATTACACATTGAGTTGTTTAACCACTGAAATCTTATGTATGTTTAAAGGCACCACTATGTGAAACATGTTTGCTTTTAAAGTAATCCTTTACAGATAAAGGTTGTGTCCTTTTAAGGAATTTCATCGCAGAGCAGCAGCAGTGGGGACGGTGAGAAACTAAACTAAACTGGTGATTTACATTGGGCGGCTGTGGGCTGCTGTCAACTCCCTAAACCTAAAGGAATGCAGAGATACTCCAGAGACGACCAGAGACGACTCAAGGCGTTACCTGTTTAACATATTATTTGCATCTTCTTGTCTATAAGAACTGGGCGAAGTTAGTTCAGGGGCAGTCAGATTTGCCTGATTTAAGTCTCTGTAGACACAGGCAGTTAGGGACAACAATCTGACCCAGAGCTCTGGATTACAATTGTATTGTATAGGGAATAAATTCTTCTTGATTTTAATCGATCGATTCCATTGGTTATTTTTAAGAGAACACGCTGAATGGTTTTTTGAGGAAACCTAACAGTTTGTTATAAATACAAGTGAGAAACAAATGCAGTTTTTGGACTTACTGGAAAACATCAGATCATTGCATCTTGTTCCGTGTAGATCTGCTGACAGAACAGTCTGACTGCACATGGAAACTAAAAGGCCGTCGTCCCACTGCCACTAAATCCATGTCAATCTGTGTTTCATTCCTTCATTTGTTTTTCAATATAAAACCAAAAATAAGAAAATGAAAAACAGTTTTCTTCATTATTTGTCTCCAAAACCAAAATGAAAAAACAGATAATGATTCGTTTTTTTTCAGTTTTCAGTTTTGTGTTTAAAATGAAAAATGAAAAAACTGATGAGTAACTGTATTCAGTTACAGTTACTCTGTATTCAGTTACTGTTACTGTTTCAGTGAGTGGTAATTGGATTACAGTTACTTTGTTGAAATAAATGGATTACACAGAGATATTTTCCTGTTTTCACGTAAAAACGGCGCGTCTTGATGCGTAAAACGCACGTAAAACACGCGCGTTGTTCCAGAACATCAAAGCGGCGCATTTTGGTGAATTTTCGGCGTAAAAAGCGGCGTCATGTCTGTCAAACGGCGAACGCTGCGGGAGAAGGTCTATGGAGACGCGAGCGCCTCGTGCGTAAATGAACAGTTTGGTTTGTCAGACTCTTGTCCACAAACGGACGCGGCGCTAAACACGTGAAGATTTAGAAACATAAACACGAGCTCGAATCTCACAATGTTCACGAACTGAACTCACCAGGAGAAGAGACGGTCTGGAATCACAAACATCCACAGAGTCACAGGTTTGTTCCTGACGCAGAGCCGCAGGGTTCGTCCGCGTCACACAACAACACAAACTTTTTATTCTTACAGATCCACGCGCCACAGAGCCACGAGCCACAGATCCACGAGCCACAGAGCCACAGAGCCACAGAGCCACGCGCGGTCTGTTTGTTGAGTCTCTGGCTGCAGACAAGCCCCCAGGTTCCAAAATGGCCGCCCCTTCAAGTCAATGGGCTGAGCTCAATGTCACATGATCCCAGATTAGCCTAGCCCGGCTAGGTACTTCCGGCGGCTGTGGGCTGACCGAGCATGCGCACTAGTGCTCTTTTCTCCCACAGGCACACGCGAATGCACGCGACCGCACGCACGGTGCACGGGCTCGTGTGTCACGTGATCACTTTGACCAATCAGAGCGAGAGGAGCTAGAGCGGAGCAGTGCGTAGCCGAAGCTAACGATTATAAAGCGTTTTTTTAAGACAACTCAAGGATTTTGAGCGAGAAAAAGTTTATGATCTAAAAATAGGTAAAAATCGCCAACAAATCCGATAATTTTGAAAGCTGTAGGTCCCTGTCAGACGAACATGAGCAGTTTGTGATTATATTGCCTCTATGATAAAAATCTTGTCTCGGCCCACGGGACTTTTTCTGCTGAAGTTCAGTGAGACACTACGTCAACTGGAGGCAGCTACAAGCAGCAAATACTGTATCCAGTTATTTTAATAGATCCATGAGACAAGACCCCAGGTTCCAAAATGGCCGCCCCTTCCGGTCAATGGGCTGAGCTCATGGATCTATTAAAATAACTGGATACAGTTTTGCTGCTTGTCGCTGCCTCCAGTTGTCGTAGTGTCTCAGTGATTCTACAGTCGAAAAAAATCCCATGGGCCGAGACAAGATTTTTCTCATAGAGGCAATTTAATCACAACCTGCTCGTGTTCGTCTGACAGGACCTACAGCTTTCAAAAATATCGGATTTTGTGGCGATTTTGACCTATTTTTAGATCATAAACTTTTTCTCGCTCAAAATCCTTCAGTTGTCTTAAAAAAACGCTTTATATTCGTTAGCTCCGGCTCCGCTCTCGTTCCTCTTGCTCTGATTGGTCAAAGTGATCACGTGACACACGAGCCCGCGCTCCGTGCGTGTGGTCGCGTGCATTCGCGTGTGCCCGTGGGAGAAAAGAGCACTACTGCGCATGCTCGGTCGGCCCACAACCACCGGAAGTACCTAGCCATGCTAGGCTAATCTGGGATCCGGGCAAAATGGCGGAGGGTTCAGACGCTCAGTAACCGCTCTCTGGTGCAAAACCTAAATAAATTCAAACTGGACCAATATTCATAGTTGAGATTAACTCCCTGACAATTTCTGACAACAAATTTACCTTCGCTAGGACCGGAAAAAGTTACACTAAAAGCTGGTAAACTTTTATCTACTGGTACTGATGGCCAAAGCTAACGCTAATGCTAAGGGAATGGCTAAAGCTAAAGCGCTCGCCTCCCATGACTACTGTGGGCTTATGGAAATGGAAACTGACACTAAAGGAGCCAAGAACGCCCTATCCTCACCTACAAAACCTCCGCAACCTCAAAAAAAGATTAAGCCGAATGATATTGATATTCTTTCCTCATCGGAGCCACCGTATGTTGCTACTGTTTTGGCGGCAATCAAGACCCAGTCAGACCAGATACAGGACGTCCGAGTGCTGCTGACCGACGTGCAGAAAGATCTAAAAGAAAACACGCTGACCCTAACTAACCTCACCAAATCTGTAGAGTACAACTCATCACAGATAAAAGATTGCAAGGAAAAAAATAGAAAGTTGGAAAGTGAAGTAATCCAGCTTAAAGAGAAGAATGCAGATCTAGAGAAAAGGGCAGCAGAGGTAGAAAGTCGAATGGCAGAAGCAGAGAGGTACAAGAGAAGGTGGAATTTAAGATTAAACGGCTTAAAGGAAGACAAAGGGGAGAACACTCGAGATCTTGTTGTAAGTCTTCTCTCAAAGATTGCCCCACACTGGAAGGAGAAAATGGGCTTCATCCTGGACTCTGTGCATCGCGTGGGTCCACACACTACCAACCACCCAAGACAGGTCATCATGCAGTTCACCATGAGAATCTACAGGGACGAACTGTGGCGAGTGACAAAAAAACAATCAATCTGCAAAGACCTCAGCATCCGCTTCGTGGAGGATCTCAGCAAAGAAGATCGAGAAGCAAGAAAAGCAGTCTGGCCCAAAGTGGAGCAAGCTAGGAGGGAAGGTCACAAGACTATGTGTCGTGGTCCTTATGCCTACATCAACGGTCAGAGGGTTGTGCCTTAAATCAAATGGTCCTGTTGGTATATTCTATTAAAAGTATTCAGGGTTTTGCTACCACCTTTTTCTGGTATCACTTTTGAGAACTTAGTTGTTTGTTCTACTGTTTACAGTGAATCACTTTTGTTCAGTATTATATGTTTGATATTAAAAGTTCAATTTCTCTTTTATCTGTAAATGCAAGGGGCCTTAGAGATTTAACAAAAGGAAAAGTCTCTTTTTATTTTGTAAGGGGAAAAAAGTTAACTTATTTTTTTTCTGCAGGAACACACTCAAAGGAAGATGATGTTTCATTTTGGACCCAACAGTGGGGTGATAAAGCCTACTTCAGTCATGGCACTTCCAGATCAGCAGGGGTAGATATCTTCCTAAAAAATTTTGCCGGCCAGATAATTTATAGTATGGCAGATGATAATGGCCATTGGCTTATTCTTATTGTAAATATTGACAATGTCAATTTGATATTGGTAAATGTCTATGGGTACAATAATAAAAATGACAACAAACAATTATTAAATTAATTAATTTACATCTGGACCACCTAAAAGTGGCACATTCAAACTGAGAATATATTATTAGGGGGAGATCTGAACTTGGTCAATGATGATTTTTTTTGATAAATATCCCCCAAATTCACCTCAGCTCATCCTAATAAGACATTTAATAATCTTTGTGACGAACTTGGCCTAACTGACGCTTGGAGATATCTTAATCCTAATTTAATTCAAATTTTCATGGTTTCACCCAAATTATAGCTCAAAATCTAGAATTGATCACTGGTTAATTTCAAACAATTTAATCTATTCTAACTTTAGCTGTAATATTTCTGCAGCACCTTTAACTGATCACAGTGTAATATTATCTTCACATTAAATCTAAGAGCAGATTATATTCTAACAAATATTGGAAATTCAACTCAAGCTTGCTCAAAAATGAGGATTACTGCCAACATATTAAAACATTAATTAATGATATTAAATGCAATGAGGAACTTTCAACTCCAGTAAGAAAATGGGAATTCCTAAAATTTAAAATCCGTGAATTCTCAATCTACTATAGTAAAAAAAAGAAAAAGGATCTTGAACAAAAGGAACATGACATTATTAACCAACTGAATTTCTACTGTAACAAACCCACTCAGAGTGAAGAAGATAAACAAACCATTTTACATTTTCAATCCTCTTTAGATCAGTGTTATATTCATAAAAACTCAAGGAGCATTTATTAGATCTAGGGCAAAGTGGATAGAAGAAGGAGAGAAGAACTCTGCCTATTTTTGTGGTCTAGAAAAAAGACGTCAGGAAAAAAACTGCATAAAATCCATATTAATCAATGACTGAGAAATTACTGATGAAAGAATGATGTCCTTTGAGATCTTTAAATTTTATAGGCAACTTTACACCTCTAAATTTTTCTAAAATTGAACTGTGAAAGCCTTTCTTAAAGAGGTTTCAGATAACATCCCAAAAATAAATGAGGACTATAAACAAACCTGCGATAGTCGTCTCTCTATTGTCGAACTTGATGCCATAATTGGCAAACTATCTCCCAACAAAGCCCCAGTTCAGACGGTCTCACCGGAAACTTCTATAAATTCTTTTGGGAAGATATAAAACAGTTACTTTACCATGTATTCTTAGAAATCTTTGAGACCTGTTCACTTCCAGTTACAATGAGGCATGGGGTTATAATCTCCATTCCAAAACCTAATAAAGATCCTAGAATCATAGAAAATAGAAAACCTATTACACTCAGGAGTTCAGACTATAAGCTCCTAACATACATCTTTGCCTCTCGTCTACAGTCAGGGCTTTCAAACATTGTTGCAGAGACTCAATCCGTTTTTTAAAGGGTAGATCTATCCATAATATATAAGAACAGGTTATGGACCTAATTGAATACAGTGATTTAATTGAAGACCACGGGTTTATTTTCTTTTTGGACTTTTACAAAGCCTTTGATTCAGTAGAACACCATTTATTATATCTGCACTTGAGCATTTTGGGTTTGGTATCAAATTTAGAAATTTAATCGGTGGATTATACAAAAACATAAATAGCTGTGTTCCTCTCAAAAGGCTCTACTCAGAGCTTCACGTAGAAGCTGGTATTTCCTCAGGGCTGCCCAATCTCTCCATACCTCTTCATCTTGGTCACTGAATTATTAGCTATTTATATTAAAAACTGTACTGATATCCAAAAATTAAATGTCCTGGGCAATGAATTGTTTATCAGTCAGTTAGCAGACGATACAACTTTATTTTTAAAAAATGAGCACCAGATTCAAAATCTATTGACAAAATTGCTAAATTCTCTAAAGCCTCAGGATTATTTTTAAATCTGAAAAAATGTGAACTTTTCTCTCTCCATGAGACTCAGATAAAGAAATCTGCCACATTCCTGTCAAAACTGAAATAAAATAATTTAGGTATTCAGCTCTGTAGAAACAAAAAGTAAGCCAGTTGGTCAATATAGAAAGCAAACTTAAAAGAATGTAATCAAACTGAACATTTGGCTCCAAAGAGATTATCATTATTAGGCCGTATTTATTTGACCAAAATGGAAAGTTTATCAAGATGTATATACCCACTCTATTCAAATGCCATTTCAAAGTATTTAATCAAATCTATAAATCAAGTTAATCTAAATTTCATATGGAGAAATAGACCTCATTATATGAACGAGTCATCTAGTGAAAAGAAACAAGTGAAGGTGGTCTAAATGTAATTGATTTAGAATGCCTCAATGCAACCCTAAAAATCAATTGGCTCAAATCTTGGATTAAGCACCATAATCCTTATGGTACTGTATCCTAACTTTTTTTTAAACAAATTGGTGGACTAAACCT